ATTTTGTCCTTTCAACTATCATATTGAGTTCCCACTATTTACTGCACACAAAAAAAAATGTTTACGTAAGTCCAGCGAAAGTGGACAGTTAAACAGTAATAGTAGTTTTCGATACAAGGGGCATAAGTAACACTTTTTGGCACGGCGTAGTTTAGGACCCTCGCTGCGCTTGGGCCAAAAGGCCCTATGGCCCGAGTATCGAATAACATTTTATAGTACTGTGTAAAGTTCACATTTATGCCCCCTTTTCCGAGTCATGAGTCGCACTTCTGGTAGCGCGAAGTGAGGTTAGCGCACGAACGCATGCGAGTGTGATGCGAACGCGGCGGTGCCAGAATGTACAACTTATGCCACAGAAAAGCGCGCCATAAATGTGAACTTATGTCATACAGTGCTATAAAAAATATTTTGCTATGGCAGCCAAAATTTTTGCCGCTGCGGCTAAATAATTTAACCGTCCGAGCAAATAAGGTTTTGTCGCAGCAGCAATCTATCTTTTTTAAACTTAAATGGCTACTGTTGTACGGATAAATCCTTGCAGAAGTAACACGAGTAATTACGCCAACATTGAATAGCACTGTAAACATTTAAATCGATTTCTAAATGCGGCCGCATTGTAACTGAGTATCGTGCTACATAACTCATAAAACGCCGCTGCAGCTCACATGCTGCAGCCTGAAAATAAACACATGCACGCACACATATTCATGTATACTAATGAAGTGGGCATAGCGTAGCACTTTTGGCCATCTGCGACGGCATTGTAACTTTTTAAACCGAGTTCTAAATTCCCTCAGCCACATCAGACGTACGTTAAACTCGCTGAACGATGGTACACGTAAAATCACACAACTGTTACAGATGCACAGTTCGTTTTCACACACGAACGCTCACGCTTTTATACGAATAAGAAAGCAGACGCAGACTGGAACGTACACTACGCAAACAAACAGATCGAACAACGATACTCCACTGACTATTACTCGAAGGGACACACACACACACACACACACACACACAAACGCACACTCCAATCAATCATCGGTCAAGCGCAGGCCGTGCATCGACGAGCCTGCCTGCGCGTGATCAGCGGTCGATCACGTTTCATACGACGCAACGTACGTGATAGCCGGCGTACCTAGGCTGGCCCTACTGGCGGACGAGCGTGCGCGCATATACCAGCACCGCCCCGAGGATGTCAAGGAGGAAGAGAGAAGAGAGACGCTGAGCAAGTGGCAGGACCGGTGGGACCGAGCCACAAAAGGCCGATGGACACACCGTCTAATCCCGAACATCGCACTATGGGTATAGAGAGGGGACATGGAGAAGTGAACTACCATCTCACACAACTAGCCAGCGCTATGATAACACCCTAAGCGCTCTCTGCCCAGCCTTTCCAAGCATGATAGAAGACGCGGAGCATGTGTTCTTTCACTGCCCGCGATTCCACGAAGAGAGGAAGAGACTTCAACAAGTCCTCCAAGAAGAAATACAGCCGAAAAACATCATCCGGCTCATGCTCGAGACCGCAGACAATTGGCTGGCACTAGCGTCCTCTGCGCAATCAGTCGTCACTAGACTGACACAAGAAGCGAAAGAGGTGTAAACAAAACAGTCCGGACGATGCTGTAAGAAAAAGACGAGAACGAAGCTTCTGTTTCCCGAACCTCTAATCACCGTAAGGTGGACGAGGAATGTACGAAAAAGACACCGATGTAGCAGAGAAGCTCTATAGAGTCCCCACCGAAGTAATGTTTAACGACGGTTTCTAGTGGGGTACTCGTTTCGAAGGGCCACTGGCTGCAAAGTTCACTCTGCCCACGTCCAAAACACAAAAAACACTCCAATCAAGGCGCAAATAGCCGAGTAGACGGCACTAGTGTCTGACCTAGTGCAACAAGATGTTCGATTCTTAAAACGGAGAAACACATATTTTAGACTCTTGTGGATGCCAAAGCATATTTTTTACTGATCAACTGTCGACTTTCGCTGACTCACGTGCACATTTTTTTCAGGATGCAGTAAAGAAGGCAAACACACTATGATAGATGCAAGGACAAAATTCTTTTTCGTAACCAAAATAAAAATTTTTTAGTTACAACTACTTTCACAGATAAGACAACAGAAGCCCATTTTGTTGTAGTAATAGGGAATAAAACACAAGTAATCTAAGTAACCCAAGTACCCCAACTAATCAAGATAAGACTTATTTAAGGGTAACCCAAGTAACCTGGAGTAACCACAAGTAACCCAAAAAACACAAATGCAAGGGGAGAAATATTATAAACGTTTATTTTCGAAAATGTTGGAATGTTAGTTTGACGCGAATCTGTCAAATGCGTGATTGTGTGACAAGTAACCTGAGTAACACGAATAACTCAAGTAACCAAAGTAAACCATATAACCCATATAACCCAAGTAACCCAAGTAACCCAAGTAACCCGAGTAACCCATATAACCCATATGACCCATATAACCCAAGTAACTCAAGTAACCCAAGTAACCCATATAACCCGAGTAACCCATATAACCCAAGTAACCAAAGTAACCCAAGTAACCCAAGTAACCCAAGTAACCCATATAACCCAAGTAACTCAAGTAACCCAAGTAACCCAAGTAACCCAAGTAACCCAAGTAACCCAAGTTNGAGGCCACATATGTCCTTGCCGGCATACCACCGCTGGCCCTCCTCGCGGACGAGCAAGCGCGACTCTACGTCCGCCGCCGAGAGAACGCAGGGGACGAGGAACGCTTGGCAACGCTAAGCAAGTGGCAGGAAGCTTGGGACCGGTCGACGAAGGGCCGATGGACGCATCGACTGATCCCAAACATCAGGGTGTGGATTGAGAGGAGGCACGGAGAGCTGAACTACCACCTCACGCAGCTCTTGACCGGGCACGGCTTCTTCAAACACCATAGCCGACGCTACGACCACAATCAAAGCGCGCAATGCCCGGTCTGCCCCTCATCCATCGAGAACGCGGAGCATGTGTTTTACCAATGCCCGAGGTTCAGCGAGGAAAGAGAGAGTCTACACTCCCTGCTCCACGAGGTCATGACGCCGGAGAACACCACCAGGCTTATGCTCGCGAGCGAGCCGAACTGGCTCGCGGTTGCTTCCTTCGCCTGCTCAGTCGTAATAAGACTGAGAGACGAAGGAATGGACAGAAGGTGATGACCGGACGATGCGGCTGGAAGAAGACGCCGCCGCATCCATGCCCCCAAGAAGCGCAAAACGCCAACCCCTCCATCCCTGTGAAGTAATGCCTAACGGCGGTTTCCGCGGGGATGGAACTAAGGGAAAAATAGACGTGGATGTACCTACATACTCTATGTAAATTAACCTGTTATTTTCTTTCTTCTGCTACATTAATACTGAATGTAAACTCCTTTTTCTCTTTCTTCTAAATAAATCACCGTTGTACATCCAAAAAAAAAAAAAAAAAAAAAAAAAAAAAAAAAAAAAAAAAAAAAAAAAAAAAAAAAAAAAAAAAAAAAAAAAAAAAAAAAAAAAAAAAAAAAAAAAAAAAAAAAAAAAAAAAAAAAAAAAAAAAAAAAAAAAAAAAAAAAAAAAAAAAAAAAAAAAAAAAAAAAAAAAAAAAAAAAAAAAAAAAAAAAAAAAAAAAAAAAAAAAAAAAAAAAAAAAAAAAAAAAAAAAAAAAAAAAAAAAAACACACACACACACACACACACATACAATCGGCCTCCTTGGCTCAGTGGGTATAGTTTGTTACCGTATGGTAATAATTAATTAGAAATGTGTGATGAGGAAAGAAAGAANAAGTAACCCAAGTAACCCATATAACCCATATGACCCAAGTAACCCATATAACCCATGTAACCCAAGTAACCCAAGTAACCCAAGTAACCCAAGTAACCTAAGTAACCCAAGTAACCCAAGTAACCCATATAACCCATATAATCCAAGTAACCCAAGTAACCCAAGTAACCCATATAACCCATATAACCCAAGTAACCCAAGTAACCCATATAACCCAAGTAACCCATATAACCCTAGTAACCCAAGTAACCCAAGTAACCCAAGTAACCCATATACCCATATAACCCAAGTAATCTAAGTAACCCAAGTAACCCATATAACCCAAGTAACCCAAGTAACCCAAGTAACCCATATAACCCAAGTAACCCAAGTAACCCATATAACCCTAGTAACTCAAGTAACCCAAGTAACCCAAGTAACCCAAGTAACCCATATAACCCATATAACCCAAGTAACCCAAGTAACCCAAGTAACCCATATAACCCATATGACCCAAGTAACCCATATAACCCCAGTAACCCAAGTAACCTGAGTAACCTGAGTAACCCATATAACCCAAGTAACCCAAGTAACCCAAGTAACCCAAGTAACCCATATAACCCGTATAACCCAAGTAACCCATATAACCCAAGTAACCCAAGTAACCCAAGTAACCCAAGTAACCCAAGTAACCCAAGTAACCCGAGTAACCCTAGTAACCCAAGTAACCCATATAACCCATATGACCCATATAACCCAAGTAACTCAAGTAACCCAAGTAACCCATGTAACCCAAGTAACCCATATAACCCATGTTGCGTCGAGACCGTCAGTCGGTTGACAAATCCCGAAATGTTCCAATGAGTGACACAGTTTGTTTTTCGTGAGAAAAAATCTTATGAAAAAAACTCACGTTTATTTTTGGTACAAGGTACAACTTGCTCAATTGAGAGCACCTTTGTAAATCAAATTTATGATTTACGGTAATCAAAGAAATTGTTACAAAGAAAGAGAGAGCGAAGAGCGTAGCTCCTCTTCTTTGCACGGTTACCTGGAGAATGAATTTATTTATCATTACTCCGAGCAACCCGACAGCGGTTGCTATGCAACCTTCTTTTTTTTATAAAATATACATGTTCGATGTATATCGAACATCCTCCCCCGCCGCCGTTAACAATCAAGTAACAAACAATTTTAATTCATGAACATATTAAGTTTAAATACTTCAACAATTATAAAGTTAACTCTCATTTTGAGTATATTCAACATGAACTGGTAAAATGCAAAGAGATCTTGCGTTTCTTTTGAATGATCCTTGCGATGTCTTGACCGTAACCACTCTCACCACATCATCATCGCCAGGATGCAGCTCGACCACCCGTCCCAATCGCCACTGCAAGCACGGTTGATTTTTGTCTATTAACAATACTATATCGTCTAGCTTAATGTTGTCATTCGGGCGTATCCACTTTTGACGTTTCTGCAGCTCTGACAAGTACTCAAGTTGCCAACGACGCCAAAATTCCTGCTTTGTTTTCGTTACACGCTGCCACGAAGTCAAGCGATTATCTGGAAACGCAGAAAAATCATTTTCGGGCAATGCCGTATATGGGTGTCCGATTAAAAAATGTGCAGGACTTAAAGCTATTGGATCATTAGGATCTGGCGAAATTGGCCATAGTGGTCGCGAATTTAAAATTGCACCAATTTCTGCCGCCAAAGTACATAACTCCTCATAAGTAAATAATTGATTACCCATCACGCGTTTCAGGTGATGTTTACAGGACTTGACGGCAGCCTCCCACAAGCCGCCAAAATGCGGCGAAATCGGTGGGTTAAAATGCCAACTTATTTTCTTGCTTACTGCGTAATTCGATACTTTCAATTTGAAATCGTCTGACCTTATCATCATATACAATTCGCGTAAATGATTATTCGCGCCAACAAAATTACTTCCATTATCGGAATACATGTGTGTTGGATTTCCATGATGCGAAACAAATCGTCTGAAAGCTGCTAAGAAAGCTTCTGTTGACAAATCACTCACGATTTCAATGTGAACCACCCGAATCGACATGCAAACGAAAACGCAACCGTAGACTTTGACCTTGTTACGATTTTTAAGCTTCTTTTCTTTAATGTACAAAGGGCCAAAATAATCAACTCCGGTGTGATAAAATAAACCTGCATTATCAACTCGTGATTCCGGCAGATCAGCCATTTTATAATCGACTGCGACAGGTTGAAACCTTTTACACCGGACGCATTTCCGAATTACAAAACGAACTTGATTCCGACCATCTAATATACAAAATCTCTGTCGTAAATTAAAAAGTGTCGATTGTATTCCTGTATGATGAAGTGTCTCATGTGAATATCGAATTAATAAATCGGTTACGTAATTATGTGCGGGTAAAAGTATCGGATGCTTTTGATCAAAAGCTATGTTTGATCTGCTAATCCTCCCCCCAACGCGAATAATAAACTTTTCATCTAAAAACGGACTCAATGCCCCTATTCTCGCGCTTTTTACATGTTTTTTTTTCTTAAGACTGGCTATTTCTTCCGCAAAACAAGATTGCTGTACCAAACGAATCAGATTCTCCTCCGCATACTTAAGCTCGTCTACGGTTAACAGTTTTTTCTCCGGCTCGTCACGATTTTCAACTCTGGGTTTGCTTTTACTTTCCTTTTTTAATTTTAGCCATTGAAAAAATTTATGCCATATAGCGATTGCGCGAACTAATGCATGATACGACGAATAACGTGACGCAAAATCATTTATAAATTTTTCACGAGAAACATTAGTAACTATGCAATGAATATTTTTCATCCCGGGTATATTCAAACTTTCAATACATTGCAATTTAGGCCATACTAATTCAGTCTGTAAAAGCCATGTTGGACCTTGAAGCCATAATTTGTTTACTAAAAATTCTCGCGGAAGTTGCCCTCTCGATAACGCGTCAGCCGGATTATGTTCTGTACGTACATGTCGCCATATTACGCGTTCACCGAGCTTTTGTATCTCACTTACGCGATTCGATTCAAAAACCTTTAGTGTGCTTGGATGTTTTTTAAGCCATTGTAAAACAATAGTCGAATCTGTCCAAAAATAAGTCTTATTTATTGGAAAATTCAGCACGGGAATTATTTCCAAGTATAATTTTGTCAAAAGCACTGCTCCGCATAATTCGAGTCTAGGAATTGTTTGTTCTTTCAACGGAGCTACATGACTTTTTGAGCATAATAGTTGTACTTGTATTTTATTATTTTTATCGCGCGAACGTACATAAATGCAGGCCCCGTAACCCGCTTTACTTGCATCGCAGAACCCGTGTATTTGTACATCGACACAGTCGTCAATAAGGATACGACGCTTGATACGAAAATTATTTACTAATTCGATTTGATCAACAAATGCGCACCAAGCACTGTGAAGTGACAACGGCACAGATTCATCCCAGCCAATTTTTTCTTTCCAACACCGTTGCATTATCAATTTTGAAGTAAAAATGACTGGACCGAGCATACCTAACGGATCATATATTTGAGCAATTCTAGACAAAATCATTCGTTTAGTAACTTTCGTATCTTTCTCTATAGGCTTGACGGAATAAATGAACTCATCTCGATCTGCGTTCCACGCGACTCCTAACGTCTTATGAATCGACGTTTCATCGATCATGAAATCTACATTACCATCTCTCTCATTCAAATCTCGCAAAGCACTGTCCGAATTAGACGCCCATTTTCTAATATCGAATCCACCTTTTTTTAAAATTCCGATTACTTCGTCTCGTAAAATTAAAAGCTCTTCTATTGTGTTCGCGCCTGAAATAAAATCATCGACGTAGAAATCGCGCAACAACGCAGCCGATCCTACTGGAAAATTTTCCTTTTCGTCTTTCGCAAGCTCATGCAGCGTCCTTATCGCCAAAAACGGAGCTGAGGACACACCGAATGTCACTGTGTTTAACTGAAACACTTGCGTTTTTCCATTTATTTGCCAAAATATACGCTGAAATTTACGATGATCTGGATGAACCCAGATCTGTCTATACATCTTAGCAATATCGGCCGTTAACGCATATTTGTGAGTACGAAATCGAATAAGGTGTTCAAAAAGCTTTGCTTGTATTGTCGGGCCAGTTATTAGTGAATTATTTAACGAGATTCCTAAGTTCGTCTTAGCCGAAGCATCGAATACTACTCTAACCTTAGTTGTTGTACTTGACATTTTCACGACAGAATGATGAGGTAAATAATAACCAGCTGTTGAATCATCATTTATCGGTGTCATGTGGCCTTTTTGAATATACTCATCCATTACCTCTATATACGCTAATTGCAACGAATGATCCGAACTAAACTTTTTCTGTAAGCTCATAAATCGTTGAAATGCTAGAGCTCTAGATTCCCCCAAATCAACGTCTTTACGAAATGGTAATTTTACAACATAACGCCCGGAACTTTCTCGATACGTATTATTAATATAGTGTGTTTCGCAATCGTGAGTCTCTTTACTATCATCACCATCTGAGTCATTTTCTAATTTCCAAAATTTTTCCATTAGATTCTCTAACTTCGAAACGTGACACACGGCTTCCTTGCAATTGGACATTCCTCCTGCGACAACCCACCCAAGCCGAGTTTTTTGTAATACTAAATCATCGTTATTTTGATTTAAATTAATTTGACCAATTGAAAACATAGCTAATGTTGCACCTGAACCAATTAATAGATCAACCTCTCCTGGTACATGAAACTGCGGATCAGCTAATTTTATATTATTTGGTATATTCATTGATTCTCGCGAGAAAACTTCATCGGGAACACGATTAGTAATTTTAGGCATAACTAAACAAGTTAACGTTTTACTGAAATCGCCATGAATCGAATTAAATGTACATTGTACTATTCCTAAGGATTTAGTTTTCAAATTGTTCATAGCTTCGACCGGGAACGAGCATGGATGAAGCTTCAACGAGAGTTTATTAACGAGCTTTTCTGTAATAAAATTTGCCGTCGAACAAGTGTCCAGTAAAGCCCGACAACTTACGAAATTCCCTTTAGGATCTTTGAAACGCACCTGTGCTGTTAACATTAATTGAGACTGCAGCGATTCAAATACAAGCTTGTGATTCTCCGAATATAGTCATAAGGGATTCTTAGCTTTCGATTTCTCTGGAGGTTGACTGACGTCGCGATGTAAGAGAGTGTTGTGAAATTTCGCGCACTTCTTGCATTTGAAATACGAACACTCGCCATTGTGTCTCGATAAACAATTTCGACAAACACCGGCTTTTTTAACAATTTCCCACCTTTGCTGAATTTTAGCTACTCTAAAAGCATGACAACGGTATAAAGGGTGTTTTTCTTTATCACACGCGAGACAATTTTCAGATACGTCAGATAATAAAACTCTCGCCCCCTTGTCAGACTTGTTACGTTTATTTGCACCGGACTCTACACATGGTAATGAACGCTTTTGACCGCTCTCTCTAACACTCGATTGACCGATGGTATTTTGCTCGATCGTGAATAACCTAAATGCTGCTTCGGATATAAATGTATACAGTTCCTTCAGAATCGGTATTTGATCCAATGCTAATGTTTCTTCCCACTTCGATCGAATATCATTAGGCAGAGCGCGTTCTAAAATACGTATTAATAAATTTTCATCGAGCTTTATATCTAATGTCGCGAGCATGTTCACGTGCTGACGCATTTCGTCAGTCAGCTTGGTTAGACTCCGACGAGAACTTTCGAGAACGGGCTGTAAATTCAAAATAGCATCCAAGTGCTTAACCATCAAAATTCGTTTATGATCGTACGCGTCCAATAACAATTGCCAAGCAGAATCATAATTTTCCTCGCTAACGTTATAAATCGAAATTTTTTGTAATGCGTCACCTTGTAGACAATTTTGTAGGTACATGAATTTTTGCAATTTTGAAATGTCATTCGTGCCAACCATGGCTGTAAACGAATTTTTAAATGATAGCCATTCCGTAACGTCGCCGTCAAATTTAGGTAAATCCGCTACTGGCAATTTTAATCTGTGCGTCTTGTCCCCCGAGACTATTGAAGTAGTATTCAAGGAATTTTGTATCGTTGAAGGACTGGGGAACAACAATTCGCACTTACCGATAAGATTGTAATATCGTGTTTGTATTGGCTCAAAATCTGCTATGTTTTCTTCACCCGCCCCGTCGAGGATTGCAAGCTCATCGTGCAATTCCTCATATGATTCAAATAACGTTTTTATCCGGTCAAAACGTGCTTTCGCGGACGCAAGCTCCGTATGACTTAATGGCTCGCTCTGATCGGTACGATCGTTCACAATCCTTTCTAACTGAGTGATTTGTCCTTTCAGAGATATTCTTTTTTGGTTGATCGTTTTAATTCGCGATGCCATTATTAATGCATGAACTTTTTATCACAAAACACACAAATTTCACAGCAAACAAGAAAAAATATCGATAACTAATTAAGTTTCTCAAATGCTTGATTTAATGGCAAACGATAATTGAAGCTAACGAGAACAACGGACTAAGATGGCATGTATGAGGTTATACTTTACAAACTGCACGAAACTTCAAAAGTTTTTTTTTTTAAAAATTGTACTTAAATTTTTACTGGTTATGAACCGCCGGACTTGCGCAGCGCTGGAAACGGAATGGCCAAGATGGAGATTGGGATGAGATGTGAGAGAAGTGGTCGTTGTCGAATGTAGAGTTGGCGTGATCGTAACATTCGTTGTGAAGCATAGCGGTATGTCGTGGGATCCTGGTCACGGCACCAAAAAATGTTGCGTCGAGACCGTCAGTCGGTTGACAAATCCCGAAATGTTCCAATGAGCGACACAGTTTGTTTTTCGTGAGAAAAAATCTTATGAAAAAAACTCACGTTTATTTTTGGTACAAGGTACAACTTGCTCAATTGAGAGCACCTTTGTAAATCAAATTTATGATTTACGGTAATCAAAGAAATTGTTACAAAGAAAGAGAGAGCGAAGAGCGTAGCTCCTCTTCTTTGCACGGTTACCTGGAGAATGAATTTATTTATCATTACTCCGAGCAACCCGACAGCGGTTGCTATGCAACCTTCTTTTTTTTATAAAATATACATGTTCGATGTATATCGAACATCCCATATAACCCAAGTAACCCAAGTAACCCAAGTAACCCTTATAACCCATATGACCCAAGTAACCCA